TTACTCTCTGTCCACAGTAAGGAAAGAAACCTGTGTTTGATATTGTTTGCTTAAGCTCATTCTTAGAAATACGTTATTTAACATCTTTCCTGAAAGCATTCAAATCCCCTGCCAGGTTTCAGCCCCCAGGAGGGGGAGTGGTTCTGACTCTATTGTCCCTAAAAATGCTGGGTTTAGAACAGAAACGTCCCAGAGAGGTTTGTATCCCCACACTACGTGCCAGTCCTCATCCAGGAAATGGCACCCCTCATCAGTGCTACATTTATGGTAATAAATTTTAAATAAATCCAGCCGCTAGGATTTGTCTGCAGAGCATTAGGCTCCTGCCCGGCAGAACTTCGGTAGCGCATTGCCTCCCTGCCACACAGCCCCTCGCCTCCTTCAACAGAAACCCTCCAGCTGTCCCAACTTCCAGGACCACTCGCCCTGTTCAGGTGAGCAGGACCATCCTCCAGCACACAGGAGGGAGCTGTAATCAGGCACAATGTGCCACCGCAGGAGGAGAAGACAATGTCAGGTTAAACACTGCAGAGCTGAAGTATGCTGTGAAGGAGTTAACTCCTTGTGAAACAAAGCTTTGAAAGAGCTGGTAACTAGAAGCGGAATACTTGATCTTTGTATGGCTTTGGTTCAACACAGATCCACCCATTTCTACTTCCTTGATGTCACTAAGCCACCTCTGATCTTTCAGAGTTGAATGAGCATGTTTTTGCTGACGTATTTACCAACAACTAAATATAAAACGTGGAAATGAAGCCAAATGCCCTGGAAGAATTGCTCGGGTTTGTTTTCTCCTAGAATCAACAGCAGTGTAACGTCACAGTCGACATCTAGAAAGTTGTGCAATTTTCACTGGTGCTTTTGAACTGTTCAGGCCCCATGGTTTAGTGCTTTTAGAAGAGACTTTCTATCTGTTGTTTAAGTCTCCCCAACTAGCACTTTCTCCCTTTGCTCTGCTGCCTGTGAAAGAGTCCCACGGATTCAGCAGAGTATTCTCTGTCCACACGGGCATGTGACACACAGCGTCCCATCTTTCATTTGGCTGTAGGTTTCCACCTGAACCTTTAAACTTCTTCACAGGCAGCTTCGAAAGAAACTGCCTGCCCCCCCTTACCCTCAGCATCAGAAATTTGCACGTATATATTTGTTACCACAATCCCATGCCGCAGGGAACAAACACACTCGAGATTTTTCCACAAAAGGGGGCTTTACATGTTAAAAAAACAAACAAAAATCCCACAAAACCAATAAACGAAGATCCAAGTGTGCTGAGCTGTCAGACTTTAAGCAACACCAGCATTTCTCTTTATTTAGCTCTGACCAGCTTTCCAAGGGCTGCCGTAGGGTCTTGCCCAGGTTGGACCACCACGGTATTTTCACATTGAAGTGCAGCTTCTCAAGAGTTGTCCCCAGCACTGATGCTGCTGCAGCACCCAGCAACTCCGCAGGGAAAAGGAATCAACTCTTCCTGCGTGAGTCAGCATAAACGACAACTGCCCAGAGCCTGGCGTTTCCAGGCAGGACTGTTCTCACGGAGCGAACACGTGGTGGGAAAGGCAGGGGCAGGAAACAGAAATTATAAATAGGGCTGAGCAAGAAAAAACAATTCCAGCTCATGGTAAGCTAAGATTTTGAAATAGGGTCTTTTCTTACAACAACCAGGTCAGTAACTGTATGGGGTGATGCTGAGTCACACAGGGGCTGGTGGACAGGACTCTCCCCAGGGATGCTCTTGGCCAACAATAACATGCACAGTCCAGCAAGCTGAGTTTTGGGAAACGTTGGTGGAGTTACGGTATTTGGCTCCTGAAACTTACACCCCTGTTGCCTGGCTTTGTTGCTGTGTTCAGTGATTTTTTGCACAATTAGCCAGGCAAGAGAAAACTAAGCCACTTGCCATTCTGTTCAAATAACAAATCACAGCGAGTACAAAGACGTACGCTGAGTCCTCACCCTTCCGTACGGCCATCAGACACCCCTGCTCCAGCGTGCCTTGCGCTGGAGTGCCAAGGAATAAACAGCTCTGACAGGTTGATCTTAAAAATGCTGAAATACAGGCAAAATTTAAGCATCTAACTGGACGGGAAGTGGTCTGCTATCAACTCGTGACAGAATTTGTAACCGTAGCAGGAGGAGAGCATAGCCAGGTAACAAGCAGAGATGAGCAGACATTACAGCTCCTGCCCAGAAACTGGCTTCAACTTTTCCACATTCAAAGGCTTCATCTGCAGATTTAGGCAACGTGGCTCGTTTTGTCCCAAGCTTCACCCTCTGTGAAATGGGGGTAACAGCACTTTTTCACCTGAAAAGGCTGGTGGAACAAAACACATTAAATACTTTACTCAGATACTGCACTAACTGGAATTATAAAGCACTGAAAACAGGCCACTAACAATTTCAAATCAATTTTATTTTCTTAAATTGGTGTTGTACAATTTAAAGCCAAAAAAAAAAAAAGTCACACAAAACACAAATAAAAAATGTTGACAAAGTATCAAGCATTACCTTATAAAGAACATCATCATACGCTCTCACAAACCTGAAGATACGTGTTTATTAGACTGAGGTTTCTCAAAATCTATTAAAGACGCCAGACACAAACGCCGCAACAGTAATAAAGCCATGACAATAGCAGGTGGACTACACTAGCAACTTCGACAATGGTTGGGGGGTTGGTTTTTGGGGTGTTATCTTTTTTCTTTTTTTTATTTTTTGCATACCTTATTGTCTACAAAGCAATAAATATTTTTCACCAAAAAAAGCTGGTTTCACACTACATGCAGTTAGGTAAAAAAGAAAGTCACCAAAGTGATGGCAAAATAAATCACCTGTCCGATTTTTCTTTTTTTTTTTCCTCCCCCATTATTGGGGGTTGTTTTTGTGTTTTTTTTTTTTTTAATTCAAGCACAGTGGCTAAGTTTCAAGTATTGAGAGAGAACATATATATACACGTTTGTGTTTGTGTGTGTATATGTAGATACACACACATCCTTGTATGTATATACACAAACACATACATATATATTGGTTGTAGGTCTGTAAACCACGTTTTTTTTGGAGCAATATATACTTGTATACATTGAATGTGGACAATTTTGGTACATTCAAGTAATTAAGTACAGCTGGAAGGTTAGTGCTGAGCTTGCCACACACACGGATCATTACACCTGCGGCAGAGACGTGGATCCCGGGCTGTGCTTCTCCTCGGCAGGAGGCTGTCGGTGCAGGCTCGGGGGGTGGCCGGGAGGGCTCGGGGTGCGTAGCAGGTGTCTGTATTGCAGAGTCAGTCCTGGCTTAGTGCTTTCATGCTGCCTCCCGGTGCACCGCTCCCGCCTGCTGCATAGCCCTTTGCAGAACTGGTAAAATCCTTTCGGAAGCAGTCTGGGTCTCCTCGGCATTTCTGGCCACAGGCTGAGGGGGCTGGTTGGTTGTCTTTTATTTTTTTCTCCTTTTTTTTTTCCCAGGCACAAGCACAAACGGCCACAGAAGCAGCAGGCTGTGAACGTACGATGTAACAGAGGCCCAATACTGAAGCATTTGTGAAAGGTACTTAAACTTCCCTGGTTGGGGCAATTGGAAATATTTTTAAATTTCTTCATTGGCATTTCTGCCCTGTGATCAGAAACACCCATGTTGCCAATGATGACACCAGCTCCATAGTTAATTAACTTGCTCCTGAAACCCTTGTAAAGTATCACACTGAACGTGCCAATATTGAGAGAAAAAAAGCAATGAGGACTTAACCACCACGTGCAAGATATTTTTAGATCCCCAAAAACAAAGCCTGAGGTTTCGAGTTGCTTTCAAAGATACTTTTCTGCCCAGCGCTAACAAAATACTGCCACGACTCTGATAAATTAAGACACACACACGCGCACGCCGACGCAGACGGACGGAAAGGCAGCCGGCTCTCCGCTCACGCACATGCTCGCAGCACCCGAAGCCTCAACCAGAACTTGAGCCACTCGCTCCCGCAGCCCCACCGGGCTGTGGTCTCCTTAAAAGAAATGCTGAACATAAAACTGAACACTACAGGATTTCTTTATAAAAAAAATGAAGCAGCAAATAAAACTCCTTGAAAAATGCATTTCCAACTGTAACTGTGTAGAATCTTAACGCCTGTTCTTCTGCTCTTAAAAAGCACGGAGCTTTATATTGACTGTCCTTAAAAGAACATTTAAATAAAAACAGAACAAAACAAATCGTGGTACTGCCAGACTGCAAGTCAGCTTTGCCTAGTGTGGAGGAGGAACAGCACAGACTCCGCAGTGCTTTTTGCCTCACACTCACAAGATACAGTACAGTTAAATACGTACAGTTACACACAAACCATATATATATATCAATATATATTCACCCTTAGGAATACATATTAATATATGCACACACGTAGTGCAATAAAACAACCAGGAAGCGAGGAAAGGAATAAAAAGAACAGCATTCCTAACAGTCGTGATGTTCCTGGGTTGTTGGTGTGATGCAAAGTCAACTTCTCAAAGTTCCCATAGTGTGTAAAGTGCTCCTTTGATTCACAAAGCTAGTGTTTTCAGTTCGGGGTGGGGTGAGGGCTCCAGGAAAGGGGTTATGGAGCCAACAGCTGAAAGCAGGACAGCGCTAGTGCTTCCTCCTGGTAGATCCATACTGACAGGCCAAGCTGAACAGCCAGGAGTCTTTTGTGTTGATCCCACTGAGTCTGGGGACCAAGGGAGGAACGGATTCATTTTGGCTTCTTAGAAACACAGGAGCGTTACATTTTCTGTCGTCCTCCTGTTTCCTGCGCAGAGTCTCTTTCCTTTTTCGGGCAGAGGCAGCCCACGCGGCAGCCGCGGGAGATGCAAACCTGCCCAGCAGCAGCACGTCCTCTGCCTTGCTCGGAAAGTCTGTAGGAGCGGGGAGCTACTTCAGCAACGCTCAGGCAAAAGGGAGTGGACTCTCTCCTCTCTGCCATTCAGTAAGCACTCCAAGGCATAAACACGTATGAGAAGGGACAAAGGAGAGAAAGGAGAGGAGCCTCGGGTTGCCAGGAAGCTTGATGATGCCTGGCCCTCAGCTGGGTGGGGAAAAGTACACAAACTGGCCTTGATTTCTGAATGACAGCCTCCAACATTAACTGGAGCCAGCAGTTTCAGCACATCCATTGCCTGCAATGGACACAGCACTGGAATACCCTGTTCTTAAGCAAGAGGAATAGGCAGCAGTCTTATCCTTCAAAGTGCTGGGAAGAAGCAGACTTCTATCCTTCGTCTCCTCTGCCAACGAGGGAAACCTTTCTACATGAGCTACGTCTTCCCCCAGGCCTCGGGCAGGGAAGTATTTGTGCTTGCTGCAGTCACACGTCCCCACGAAGGAATCCGAGTCTGTGGAACAACTTCCCAAAACATCAAGATACAAAACACTGAGCAGTTCATCCTCTAGGTCTTCCACTGCCAAAATCGTTTCCCACTACAGCAGCAGGCCACTGGAAACAGAGTGATCAGCGGGGGTGAGGTGCGTGAAGAACACTACTGAAATCAGGCGCAGAACCCCGACAGCAGAGCTGACAGCCTGCGCTCGATGCACAGTTTACCTGGGAGAGAAAAAAACAACAAAAGAAATCAACCTCTCATCTTCCTGGCAATATAAAGACTACAAAACATGCTGGAGATGGAAAATAAAAAAAAAAGGCAGAACTTCAGCAAAACTAAGCAGCCCTTCAAGAATCATTATCATGTACCAATTTAGACTAGGTGAGGACCCGACCACAAACACCGTGCTGGGAAGGGACAGGCCGAAGGGTTGAGTAATCAGAGATCCAACAACGAAAGCCAGATTCTCATTGTCTGAGCCCAAGACTCTCTGAAAAGCTAGACATTTGGTGGAATTCATTCCTCCCACAGGAACACTTGCTGTATTTCTATGTTTATCATTTTACTTTTCAGAAATGAGTAATCATATACCTGAGACCTAAAATGAAATGCATACCCACTACACCCTACCAGGGAACAGCTCAATCAGGAAGCTGGAACATACAGTAAAACAGGGAATACCAGGATATCAACTGGGAGAAGAAATCTATTAGATGCATTAACTGTATCTCTGGAGAGAAGATGTGATTTAAGTTTGGTAAGAACTGGTACAATAGAAACTACTTAGTATTCCCTGTTCACTTAGCCCTCCAGTACCGCACACCACCTGCCAATCTCCTTTTGCTCTCCTTCAGCGAGCCTCGTATCAACTGTGAACGTCGGTGATAATTAACTGACTGATTGCCTGTGAGCCAGAAATCTCTTCTCTCATTACCTGTCCGAGCGCTCTGCCTACACGGAGGACTAGAGCAGCCTGGCAGCACTCTGGATGCCAGCCCAAGAAAGGCGTTCGGTAGCCAGCGGAAGGGAAGGGCACGGTGTGCCAGCTCCGGCCTTTCCCTTCAGCCGTGCCGACGTTGTCGGGCGCTGATGGGCTGGTTGAGCTGTGGTGGAGCAGCGCCCAGGCCAAGCCAAGCTGCTCTAACAGACGATGGCTGTCCCCCATCCCTCTGCTCGCCTCCCGCAGAGAGAGACGACAGAGGTGATTAAAGCCCAGCCACGAGGGCAGGGAAAGTGCGCTCAGAGCAAGCGACGTCTGTCCTTTCCACTCCACATGTGCCAGGTGTGGAGCCTGCAGCAGTGGAGAGTAACACCCCTCCCGACGACGGGAGAGCACGAGAGAGGGGACAGCTCGGAGCAGCAGAGGGGTCCATCTGTCTCTGGGAGTGGGAGCCAAACGATGGCAAGTCGGTAAGAGTTCAGCTTTCACTGCTACAGCAAGCACTTGCTGATGAGAAAAATATTTGTCTGCTGCCTTCTCAGCCAGGCGTGGGGCTGGGGAACCAGACAGGCGAGCAGTCCTGCTTCAGAAGACGCGGCGGAGGGAGCCCTCGCTGTGCTGACCAGCCACCTCTGCCCGACAGCCGCTGCAGTTTCGCCTTCCCAAACGCTCTGTGCAATCAGACGGATGGTTCTGGCTGGAAACCAAACCCAGGCCTCTGCTGTTGCCAAACCACTTCCTTTAGCAAGTTCTTGCACACATCAAAAGCTCCAACAAAGCCCTGGCAATCACTCTGCACGAGAAGCTCTCAAAATACGGGTCAGAACAGGGACCTGCTTTTCTAACAGTTTTCCCACTGGGAAAGCAGGAGGCCAGGCTTCTAGGAGCTGTAACAAGCTGAGAGATCTCTGCTATGTCCACCAAGATGTAGCCAAAGGAAAAAAGGACGCTGGGTACTGAAATTTCTGATCCATGCAGCTAGAAAAATACAACCTGGTTTAGTGAGGGGAAAAAAACCCACCAAACACTTACATTTACTGATGTTCTCTATGTCGCCCTGTTCAGTGATGATGTTCAGGAGCCCCTCCATCAGTAGCAGAGCCTTGTGGTACCTCTGTGCACAGTCCTCTCTGTGGTGGAACATCTCATCCAGGGCTGCAGATTGCACCTGTGGGCAACAACCCCATGCTGAGAGGTTACTCCCAGACCAGACCAAGCTTTCCCAGCATGGCCCCTCAGCTGCAAGAACACCTCCCTCGCCCAGCCTTCAGAGGCTGCACGGAGCATCATGATTGAAACCACCTGCCAAGGCCTCCAGCAGGAACTGTTAATGCCTGGAACTGGCTCTGAGCTAACCCTGCTCCCAGGCACTGTATGGTTCTTACCATCTGCACAGCATAGCTGAAGATGAGCTTCTCTGCAGTGATGCTGTTGATCCGATCCATGAGTTTCTGTTTGTCCAAGAAGAACCTCTGCAGTCTCATGTTGAGGCAGTGGCAGGATGATACACTGGATTTATAAAGCTCATTCAGCTTCTTCACAACTAGAGTAAAGGAAAGAAAAGTTTTAGGTGCTAATTCCAGTTCTCTCTGTGCCTCTCAATCTCTGTGCACAGGACCCCAAATGAGTAACTTGAAGAGGACAGGGTTATGTTAAAACCAAAAGACTAGCAGGAAAGTACTTGCTGCACCAACAGGGTCTTTTTTCCTTTCCCCTGTCACCTTCACCAGTTTTAAGCCCGCATGTGGCCAACGCCTACACATATGCCTAGTTCACCTGAGGCCAGGTCTATTTTTGTTTCCTTCAACTGCCACAAGGCAGGGAGCAGTTTGCACCATGCAAGATGTCTCACGCACCACCAGAAGCAACACACGTGCCAGATACAAAGCTTCTGCTCCTTGATGGGTGACGACGTGCCGTGAAGAAGGATGTGACTTACATGCAGTAGCTGCTGGAGCTGAGTGTGGATGAGCAGCACTGACTAAGCAAGGGAATCTCTCTCAGGACTCTGCTGTTGCAGAAAGACAAGACACTGATGCCTGTGAAAGGCCACCTCCTTTCCTGAGCCACGGCAGCTCACACGGGAAGGTTACGGGACAGAGAGTCAGGAATCAAATATGATTCTGAGGGATTAAATAACAATCCAAGGCAGCGAGCAATGCCACAGGCTTTAGTCTCCCTAGGTGCATGCCATGATCTACACAAAGTACTGAACACAAACTCCCACTATCATCTGATGAGTATTAACCGCTACGTGCGCATTTGAAAATCCCCACGCTGCATGATTTGCTCCTGGGGGAGGCAAATTAACCCGCACCATGAACCAGCCTCTCTCAGCTACAACACAGGGGGGCAACCTCGCATGACAGCCAGGCCTTGCGACTAACTCGAGCCTTCCCGGGCAAGAGAGCAGCAAGCCAGAGAAGAGGCTGCCTCCAGGAAGAAAGGCTGCTGTAATTCTTCGTCAGAGAAAGGGACCGAGGCACATAAACGTAACGGTGTAGGGGTCAGACTGTCGGATCACCCTTGCTCAGAAGGGACCGGAGAGGGAGTGGGAACCCCAAAGCTCATGGGTGACATCAGGAGGGTGAAATGAAACACGCCATGAGAAGAGAGTCAAGAGAGACTATTTAAAAGCCCAAAACAGAACAACACACAAATGCAACAATATCCTCCTCCATGGAATTCAATCAGGCGGAGCTATGTTCAAATTTTCAGGAAAAAGGGGATGGGCGTGGGTAGGGACCCTGCCTAGCACACACTGTCCAAGGACACTCCAGGGCAGCGTCCCGTCATGCTTCCCTGCGTTTTCCACACACATGGGCCACAAGTACCTTGAAAACCCTCTTGTCCTCACTGTGCGCTGCAAACCCTCAAGGGTGCAGTATTTTGTGGGGAGAGAAACACGAAAAGACAGCCTTGCCCAATTCCCACACACTGAAGGACAAATTACACTGCAAATCTAAAAGTTGCAATCTGCCCTGAAAAGAAGTCATTTATTTGGGTTATGACAACTTTCCTGTTAGCCTGACCTTGCGGAAGATGTGTAGCTAAACCTGTACATCTTGCTCCATACTGCCTGCTACAACATACGTGTGCTCATTGTATAAAAACTTCTGTTTTCACACCCTATCCCAAGGCAGCACAAGTACTTTCAAAGACTAAGCTCTCGGGGAAGGCAGCTGATGGGTCAAGTACTTCAAGTGCTTCAAAAAGCTCACTCAGTAATATTACAATGGTCATTTTTGAAGTTATTTTTTCTAATCACTGAATCACAGCCAGCTCACATCACAAGCCAGCCAGTCAGATGCAAATGTTAAGGCCGTAACACTAGCAAAGAAGTGACTCTGGCTTTACCAGTATTTTACTTCCTGTGTTTTTGTTTCACTTGAAAAATCATCACTGCCAAGACAGGTCTCCATTTGCCAAGTAAGCACTTCCTAGGACATGCACTCTGTAATTAAGTTGGACTTACGTCAAGTACAAATAAGCACCTGAGACAGAGATGTACAAGGAATCAGATAAGATACATTCCCCTCTCACTAA